AAAAAAGAAAGGAAGAAAAGGAAAAAGAAAGGTATATTAACTGACGTCTATGACTTACGGGAAATAGTAATAGCTAACCACCAACTCATTTGGCGGCAGATAGTTTAAAAAGTATAAATTCTGGCATTTTGGGTTCCTTGGCACACAATGCATTATATATATATATATTATTTGATTTACACTTTGCCTCAGGATGAAGATCCACTCCTAGAAGGTGTGTGTTTATAATTACTAGGCAGTACTTCGTATTTATGAGCAATGTGGTCCGAGGCTTGGGTAAGTGTATAACACAGTGTGTGCAAACACAGCGTGTATAGTGTGTGCATGGAAGACACTCAGCAAACATGGCGCACATGCAGAGCCATCGCTTTACTTTGTATGCTTTCAGAGTGGGGTGGTCCTAAGGGCAGTATGGAAAGATTTATGATTTTTTTAATCCTCTAAAACAATCTGTATGTTCCAAGCTCACTACAGGGTAAGTTAAGAGATTTTCAAGTAAGACTGACCCTGTTTCCCCATTGTTATCCTGGAAACAGAAGTCCTTGCACATGCTGAGCAGTGCTGGCCAGGAATAGACAGACTCTGTACCCTGATGAGTCCTGGATGTGATCCATGTGAAGTGACAGGGTGTGCAGCCCTCCCTGATATGAGGCAAATATTCATTTCCCTCCTTACCGGCATTGCGTTGCCAGCATCTTCTCCACACATAAACTGGATCTTTATTGTAATGTTCCGGGCTGATGCTAGTTTGTTAGCAAAGTTCAGCCTCTGTGGGTACACATAGAGAAGATTTCTGAAAAAGAAGAGATAAAGAGTTAATGAAAAAGGTCTAGAGTTTATTTTAACTAAGTTTGCAGCAAATGCTGAGACTTCCATTCATGGGGTGTTTTTCCAAAGGACTTTTTCCTCTTGAAGTGAATTATTATTGGAGGAGAGAGTGAATTATTTGATTCTTCCTCTTTAGCCACAGTCATCTGAAAATAGCCCCTATTGCTCTCTGTTTTGCTACAAGTAAAGAGTGCTGCAGCGCAGAACGTCTTAATGCCTTGGAATGTGGAAATCTGCCTAGAGGTAACTATCTCCGACAGTCAGATAAAGAAGGCAAAACGGGTCCAGCTCATTTTAAATAAAACTCATGGCCACAGGTGATGGCCTAATGTCATTCTTCTCTTTTTCCCTTCCTAATTTTTATGTAGTAGTCTCCTTCTGTTCTCATCTAAGATAACAGCTCAAGCCCCCAAGCTCAATTACTGTATAACAACAATATGAATGATATATCCATTCATTTGACAACTAGGCTACGCAGTGCCTGGGTAACTTGCATATGTTTTTCTATTTGCATTATTTGTAGTAGATTCCACTCAAATGTAAGTTCCACAAAGATAGGGATTTTTCTCTGATGTTTCTGATCCACTGATGTATCTCTAGCAGCTAGCATGGTGCCTGGGACATAGCAGCACTAAGTAAATATTTGTTGAAGGAAGGAATGAATGTATGCATATTTGGTGAAGTATATTCCTGGCTTGAAGAAACAATAATAATGATACTAACATTTGTATAGGACTTAGATCCTGAGTCAGGCCAATTTCCAAATACTTCATATTTATTAATTTGGTTAATTCTCATAGTTATCCTATAGGTAGGTACTGTTATCACTGTCATCATCCCCATGTCACAAGTGAGGAACAAATGAGATACAGAGATGTTAGGTGATACATCCCATATCATATAACTAAATGGCAGAGCTGGGAATTGAACCCCGACTGCCTAGTTCCAGAGTCACACTCATAACCACTGTGCTATATTCTCTCAGAAAAAAGCCCTGCTAAGTATAGCCTTTTCATACTGTGCTATCTTGACATCTCTCAGGGACGAGTTTGCCTTAATTTTCTAGGTATTAACAGTGGCATGTCAACCTGCATTTCCTAGCCTGTCCCACAGATCCCTAATGTTCTCCAAACTATTAACAAGTGTGTGGGAAGGGGAGATGGTTGAGCAGATGTAGTTGGGGAAGACCGGGGCAAGTGAGATGAACAGGTTACTGTGCCCTGGGAATGCCTTAGAGGGAGACAGACTCTTCTTTCCCCAAATGTTTTGCCCTCAGAACTCCTTTCATTTATTCATTTTTTCACGGTATATTTTATGAAACTAATGTTCTGAGAAATTACCTGGGGAAACGTTGAGATAAACTTATCTAGTCACAGAAGAACATCTCACATCAAGGAAAGAAAAGATAGGGCACAAGAATTGTCTACTCAAATCTCTTGCAAAATAATGAATGCTCTCAGGTATTTGGCAGGAAAAACGATAATTAGAACTGTCAAGAACACACAGGAGCTGTTACGTTGAATGTGCAAGTTCAAAGGCCACGGAGGCAAATAAACAGATTCCTAGGTCTTATTTTACCCCCATCTCTCTATTTTGGGTGACTCCCTGGAGGCAGAATGGGGCTGGACCAGTGCTGGGAACGGATCTGAGCTACTACTGTACCCTGTGACTTCCTGGGCTGATCTATGACAACACTCAGCGAGCTTCAAATATCAGTGAGGTGTAGATGTCTTCCCAGAAAAGTAGACAACAGGCCATGACACAATAAAGGGATTAGCATAGCATTCTGAAGTGCTAAGGCCAGGGGGCACCTAGACTGAGCCCCAAGTTTTCAAGATGAGACACACGGTGAATGAACCACAGAGCAGTCAGAGACCCAGTACAGTGCTGTTTCTACTCAACCATATGGCCATCTAAGCAGCACCTCCCAAAGCTTGCTCTGTCTAAACTGATGCAGCCTAAAACCCTGATGCAGGTAGATATGGTTGAGCCACTGATGCTGTCAGGAGTGGACGTGGATATAGTATATGAGGACGGAAGACAGTTTACAGTTGCAGTGCAGGGATGTGTGGGGGTTACAGACTCCTCTCTGCTCACTGCTCTCTTCTGTTCATCTCCGCTGCCACCAATCAAAAAGCAGAGCTAATGTCAGAGAGGGGATGAGGGTGTTCTCTCTGGAGCCAGAGAGCCGGGATTTGAATCCAGCTTTTGCTTCTTTTAGCTGCACGGCCTTTGGCAAGTTACTTAGCTTTCCCAAAGCACAATTACACTGACCTCAGAGGGCTGTGGTGAGCATTAATGAGCACCAATTGAAATCTAGAAGACTGCTCTGGAAAAAGAAAGAGCCTTCTCTGAACAGATAAGTTTTATGACTAGCAGTAGGCTTCCATTATTATCATTAGAATAGAGGCATGATATATGCTTTTAAAGGCATGGTATATGACCAGTGATTTACTTGTGTACCTTATCAAGCACAAATTCTGTAAACCCAAAAATGTGAACACTGAAAATATACTGGTTACATGGCCCCCCTAAAAACGTAAATGATGGCCATTATGATAATTATTTACTCCACATGGCTAACAAGTCAGATCCTCACTCCAGCCCACTTTGCCCTGTCTCTCTACTCTGAACCACCCTCATTCTCACATGGACCCCTGCAAAACCTTCTCAATAGATCTTGACTTCTACACTTGCCTCTTACAATCTTCTTCATATATTGATCAGAAGGATCTTTCAAAAATGTAAAATAAATTATGTCAGGCCTTACAAGGGTTTCCCAAACTTTTTATCATGGGTCCTGCATGACCTGGGCCTTGGCAATGGCTCTGACCTTATCTGTCATCATTCTCCCATGCTGGCCTTTTTCAAAACCTAGAACATTCCAAACTTATTCCTTCCTCTGTGCCTTCTGTTTCCCAGAGTGCTTCCCTGTTCACTAAATGGCTGGGTCTTCTCATCTTTGGGGTTCAGCGCGTACGTCATATCTTCCAATGTCTTCCCTGCCATTCTATTTCATTCACCTGTTCCACTTTCACACACACACTCCCTCTTTCATAATCATATGATTATCATATACAGAGATGACTATGAAAGTAATGTGTGCCCATTTTTTTCAACCATGGATAACTTAAAAGTACATAACACTATAAAGAAAAGAATAGCAGCTTCTCAATATAGCACTGTACCAAGAAAGATCACCGTTAATACTTTAAAACATGTATATTTTGTCTTTTCTCCTCTACACATTAAACTTTTTTTTTTTTTTTTTAAATTTTTGAGATAGGATTTCACTCTGTGTTGCCCAGGCTGGAATGTGGTGGTGTGATTACAGCTTACTGCAGCCTCAGCCTCCTGGGCTCCAGTGATCCTCCAGCCTCAGCCTCCCAAGTAGCTAGAACAGCAGGCATGCATCATGACACCTGGCTAATTTTTAAATTTTCTGTAGAGACAGGGTCTCACTGTGTTGCCTAGGCTGTCTTGAACTCCTGGCCTTCAGTGATATTCCTGCCTTGGCCTCCCAAAGTGCTGAGATTATAGGCATAAGTCACTACGTCCGGCCACATAAAACATTTTTATCATACTGTATGTACAAAGCTTTATCTTTTTTATGACACTAAATGTTCAGTTATGACTATCTGCCCAATGTGACTGACTATTCTTGATAAACATGATTTTAATGGGTGCATGGTATTGAATATTCTGAATATGCCGTAATTTACAATGGTCTCCTCTAAAAATAAGTGTTTAGGTTATTTCCTTGTTTCAGTTATAAAGCTGTGATGAACACTTGATATATCTCGACCCTCTGCAGTACAGCATACTTTTGGAAGAATTCCTTTAAATTCTGTAATGCTCAGCTTCATCATCTTTGAATTAATTAAAAGACGTCAATCAACCTTTCTTTAATGCCGTGTTTGAAGGAATAATGAGCCAGAGTTTGTGAAGTTGCTTTGAAGTAGCTGGATGAAAGGGACTGTGTAAATCAGAACAATAGTAGCCCTGCCAGACTTACCACCACACTCGCCTCTTTCACTCCAATACAGGGGCACCACCACCCATTCCCATGCACCCCCATCACTGTTCAGCAATTTTGCACGTTGCTTCCAAAGGGGTTGCTTACCCCTGTATCCAAACATCACCGCCACAGATACTTAGTGTCCTGCCACAAACTGCCTGTGCTCTCCACTGAGCACGCAGCTGGAAGGAAACATCAAGAGAATTTACTCCAACATCCCATTTTTTCAAGGCCAGGAAACTAGCTCCCAGGAAGGTTAAATGAGTTTGCCTAAAATTCTTTTTAAGAAGATTCATTTCCTAAGGGTCATCATTTTGTTTTGTTTTGGTTTTTTTTTTGAGATGGAGTCGGGCTCTGTCACCAGACTGGAGTGCAGTGGTGCAATCTCGGCTCACTGCAAGCTCCGCCTCCCAGATTCAAGCAATTCTCCTGCCTCAGCCTCCTGAGTAGCTGGAACTACAGGCGTGCGCCACCACACTGAGGTAATTTTTGTATTTTTAGTAGATATGGGGTTTCACCATGTTGGCCAGGATGATCTCGATCTCTTGACCTCATGATCTACCTGCCTCAGCCTCCCAAAGTGTTGGGATTACAGGCGTGAGCCACCACACCCAGCCTATATTTCTAAATCAGTAAGAGTGCTAAGTAATATGTTTTGTTAAATCCATATGCTTTTAAAGAAATGAATACAAGAGAATAATAATGTTTTCCGTTGGGAGGGAAGATCCGCCTACATGGCCAGTAACCCAGAGCCCAAGCCAGATAAGAATAATTATTAACAGACTGATAAACAGGCTCATATGTTTCATATGTGATAAATGAAGTGTCTCATGCTAGCCAGAGAAGCATGATTTTTGAGAGGACAGCCCATGACCTTAGTAACTTGCCACTTGTTATGGCAGAGTTATTTTGAAAGCTTTCTCAGTAACTAAAGGTTCAGTGTATGT